CCAATGTACAAGATTTTTAATGTCTCTCATTCACCTTCTAGAGGTTAGTCAACGGAAGACCAGATCTTCTGCCACGGGGAAGGACCTCTCGGGTTTGACAGGAAAATCGTCGTCGACCACCACCGCCAGGGTAAGTGTGAGGATCGGACGCACAATCGTTGCAGATATAATCATCTCCAATCTGACGATCATTCAGCTACAGCCAACAAACTGAATACCAAAAACGTTTAATTGTCTTTCAATAGTGACTCGCTGGACATCTGTGAAAATAAGTCGTATTTAAACAAACTTTTTTAAAAACACGCTTTTATGAAATGTACCGTACTAGTAATGGCAGAACTCCACGACTCCAGGAAGTGGCCCCGAAGCTTGCCATAACGTAAGGGGACCGTGGTCAATTACAGCCAACGTCCCTTTACCGTGGACAATTAGACCCAAGCCAAAACATAACATATACAAAAAGAATGTTTACAAGATTTTTTAAGGATACGACAACAGAAGGAGTGAGTTAAATACAAGCGTGTAAAAAGAGTTTAATCCACTCTTCGTGTTCCTCCAGCCTAAATAAATAAAAGATTCCGAGTCTTGAATAGCTCTGTCCCCCTCCGTCCGATTGTCACGTGGCGACTTCCAACGCAGAGCCAGAAGAAGGCGGCGACGGAGGGCAAGGCCATGGCTAAGGGCAAGGCCAAGCCGAGGGGCAGAGGGGCTTCCCAGGGAGAACTCGAGAAGGAGACCACGGAGGCGTCTGGGCAGCCGGAGAATCTGGGAATCTGCACTCCTCCGCTGCCTCCCGCTCCTCCTCCGACCCCCACGGAGACCGATAGCCCCGTGAGTGTGTGGGCCGGGGCAAGTCGTTTGCGGTAGAATCCCCGTTACTCGAATCGCCGTTCTCCGCCCTCCACGTTATCCGCGCGCCACGTGACCTCGCGCTTGCTTGCTGCTGCTGTCCACACACGGCGCGTTATTCGTGCAGCTTCTGTGTTGTCGTCACGCCGCTGCCTTCCTGGAGCCCCCTCCCGTAGTCGTCACGCGGAAAAGTGGGGAAGGGACTTGGCAGTGTCTTGCAAAGTCTTCAAATTGTCGGTCATTTTTTTTTTCCGCGGGGTTCAAGAAAAAACCCAGGTGGGCTCGAGAATACCCGTGGGTAACGCGCGCAGAACTCCTGGGACGCAGAGGGCATCATCCAACGCATCACGCATCGTCGACGAGATTTTGTTACCTGCTCGTGTTAAGATTGTGGCGATGGTGATGGATTAATGATTGATAGAAAAAATTGTCGCTGGGTCGGTGCGGCTTTCGCTGTTCTCCACTGTGTCGGCAATGACAGCGGTGATGGTGACGATCGTGGTGATGTTGATGCCGGCGACCTTGTTCTGCGGGAGGTATCTGCATGTCCTGGAGGTTGTTTCCATGGCAATGATATCACCATTTATTGCGTCAGCTGGAAGGGGCTGGCGCAGAGAAGACCCCGGAGAGACGGCAGCGGTCTCTGAGGGCCAGGGGGGGCCCCCAAGCGTCCGTCAAGGCCCTCTCCCCGAGTCCTGGCCCAAAGCCCACGCGGAGACTGAGATCCAAAGCCTTGGCAACAATCGCCGAAGGTGAAACCCTCAAGGTGACTTGCCGCATAGGAGGGGAAAAATACATCACGATCTGGATTTATTAGGTGGGGTGAGCACAGTGTTGTCCTATGAACCTAAAACTAAAATGCTAAACTGTTTTATTTTACCAGGTAAGGCCCCACTGAGCTATATAGCACTTTTTCAGAAGCGACCTGGCCACATGATGGCTCAACTTAAGTGGCTTATCGCGTGCAAATATATATATATCTGCCGAATACTCTAAACACACGTTTATAAATGTGGAGGACAAAACCGGGGAGACTTAGAGGAAAATCCACGCAACCACGGGGAGAACACGGAATCTCGATATACACACACGTGCGTTTTGAAAACTATGACACGTGCGAGTCCCCCTGCCCTCTGCAGAGCAATCCTCTGCCGATGCTGATTTGGTGTCACTCCATGCAGGGCCAAGAGAAGGCGACAGGAGGCAAGGGGAAGGCTGTGGCTATGGCTGCGGCTGTGGCTACGGCTGTGGCCAAGGGCACGGCCGAGGGCACAGCCGAGGGCAAGGCTGAGGGCAAGGCCGAGGGCAAGCGTACGACACGAGTTGCCCAGCGGGAGCTGACGAACGAGGTGGAATCCGTGCAGCCGAAGACACGGAGAATCCGTGCTCTTCCTGCCTCGTCTCCTCCCACCCCGAGCGAGAGTGACCACCCTGTGAGTTGGGGCGGTGCTACAGCTTGACCGGTGGAAATCTTTATCCCATTCCCCGCAATCCACGCTCCTCCATATCAACTGTTCTCGGTTATCTGTGCAATTTGACTTTCTTTATTAACTGAACCATCGGAGGGATAACAGGGAAGCTGTCTGCGAGTGGTGGCAACATCCCCAAGAAGCTCTGTCGATTAACTTGTGCATTCGATGCGAGTTCTGTTTAAACCTTAGTTTTGCTCCTGTGTTAAACCTCTTGCCATTGCTGTGTCTTCAACCCTTGCCCCCTCTGCATGAACGCTTGCCCACACGTTTTAAACCTTAAGCGCCTGTGCCGCGCTTAAAATAAACTCTAAACTATTTATTTTACTAGGTAAGGTCCACTCGGCAATATAGCTCAATTTCAGAAGTGACCTGGCCACAAATGATAGCCCAACTAGAAGTGGCGTATCACGTGGACATTTATAGAAGCCAAATACGCCAAACGTATGTTTCTAAATGTAGGGGTGGGTGGGGGGGAAACCACTGAACCACGGGGGGAGAGACGCAAACTCCAAATATACAGGCGTCGGGTTCGAAGCCACGACCACCTGTATACCAGGCGAGGTAGTTAACATCTCACCACCGTGGCGCCCACTTGTTTCCTGTGTCAGCCGGAAGGAGCAGCTGCTGCTGGGACCGAGAAGAAGACTCCCCAGAGACGGCAGCGATCTCTGAGGTCCCAGGGACCCCAAACGTCGGTCAAGGCCCTCTCCCCGAGCCCTGGCCCCAAGCCCACGCTGAGACAGAGATCAAAGGCCTTGGCAACAATCACCGACGGTGAAACCCTCAAGGTAATTTGATACATGGGATAGAAAAAAAAACAGCACGATCTGGATTAAGTGACTAAATATGTATTCTTAGGTTTTTTTGGTAAAGTCACGGAGGTAAAAAATTAAAATTAATAAAAGTAAAATAAAAATAAAATAAAAATCACGACGTTTCGGAGGCAACACAAGCTTCCGTCTTAAGGTGGAACCGTCACAGCACGATAGCTCACTTGATACAGCTATCGTGCTGTGACGGTTCCACCTGAAGACGGAAGCTTGTGTTGCCTCCGAAACGTCGTGATTTTTATTTTATTTTACTTTTATTTACTTAAATTTTTTACCTATGTGACTTTACCGAAAAAAACCTAAGAATATGAATCCTTGCAGTCACGAAAGCTTCAAATCTAGAATTACTAAATTTGTTTTAGGGAAAGCAGTGGTGAGCGCAGTGTCCTATGAACCTGGCAACCCGAGAACGATTCCTGGCCATGGCTAATGCCGGCAGACAGTTGATATCTTCACCGGTCCTGGCCCCATTTCTTCACGAACTGACCAGCATGAAGTACGGCCAAACAGCAACGTAGCATAGTGAGGCCATAATCAATTTAAATGGGATGCAGTTAACATGAATGGCGCTATATAAAATGAAATCAGTAAATTCCAAATGATTGCATTTTAATTAACACTTATATTCATGCATATATTGTTTGTGTACGTAGCAATGTGGCCTGTGTGAATGATATTTGCTTTAACGTGTTTTAAGAAATGTTCATGTTGTGGTGGTGTCCATTTACTAGACCGACGCAGCAGATGGAAAGCCAAACCTAAAAAAACGCTTGGGACTGGCTCCAGGAAAGGGGAAGTGATGCATCCCGAGGAGGAGCTGAGATATGCCCCCAGGTATCTCTCGCAGCATCTCATCTGGCTCCATTGCATGACACCCCCCCCCACCCACCTTACTAAGTCCATGAGCCCAGACCCGATCTCTCACCTGTTGGGGGGTACCACCTCAGGTGGCATAACTTCAGTGGTTCCAATTTCTTTGTGGCCAAAAAAAGTGAATTATGTGATGACCGCTTGAAATTAATGGGGTCTCGAATAATTCACTCTGCCATATAACCGAATCGTTACAACCAGCGTTTTGCTTGTTTAGTTAGAACTAGTTGCTCTGCACCCTGGACTAACAGGGGAGGGGTGTCGTGTTTGCAGAAGGCAGTAGAGCAAAGAGGATGAGGGGACACATCTTCGGATAACTACCGAGATGCAATGATGAAACCAACTTGTGCAGGTGTATTGTTGAATGCCGAAACTAAGGGCAATGGCGACTTAGGGGTTGATTTATTGTACTTAACTCTATAAAGAGTGCGGGTTGAAGGGAGGGGAGTGGCCTTAGCACAGGTCACGGTATCACTTTGCCACTGTTAGCCATAGCTGGGAATTTAACTCTGGTTGCCGAGTTTATAGTGCGGTGTGCTAACCACCGTGCCACCAAAAATATACATTGTTTTGCCCCCCATATGTAAAACTCTTATTGTAAATACCGTGCATACTTATAATTATCTCGTATAAAATAAAGAGCTATCCTTGTGTGATCAAGTTTGTGGACTTCTACCCATCATCAGCCTCTTTTGCAGTAACAAGAAGTGTATTCACTCGGTTGTCTAATTGCATAATCGAGTTACAACCGATCGGATGGGTGGGGGGGGAGAGAACCAGACTGAAGAACGAAGTGGCATTTCCAGCACGCACGGTTTCACCTTTATGCTCTACTCAGCCGTGAACATGTGAGCCTTGTATTAAATTAACTGTCCACAATTAACCCCCCCCCCCCCCCCAGCAATGTCACGGATTGCCTACCTTTTTGAGCATGTCTTTTCTTTCCTGTCTCGTTTATGCAGTTAAGTGTAACAGAATGTAATTTGCACGAATCTTTAATCAATTCTTATACAAACGAGTGAATGTCCTAAGAATAAATTTAATCGATGCATCATTACATGACTTGTAGTGGGTTGCTTAGTTTTTCATAGTTTAAATATTCTGTCTTCTGATGAGCTACCAATAATTTGTAAAAGGTCGTGATCAAATTGGTGAGCCCAGGGCTATTTACTGATTTTGCTGCAGGCCAGATTTACCCTGCTTATCCATATTCACACTGCTCGAGTGAGTTCCCATTCCAATATCCCTACAAACAATAAAAGCATATTGTAGGTGGTTACAACTTTCATTGGTCTGCGAGTGTGTAAGCGGGCTCACTCAAATTGTGTTGTGTAAAAAAAATAGCAAGAACTCACTTTTTGGAACGGTATATTTTAAATAATAAGACTATCCATAAACGTTTGAGAAATGTCTTATAATATAAAATTCTTTATTGTATGTACAAATGTATAATAAAAAACGTAGCATTTGTATGCCCATACACTTAACTGAAGTTATGATTTGTAGAACATCTTAAGATTTAATTTACAAAATAAAGTGTTTAAAAAAAGGTTTGTGGCTTTTGTAAGCGTACTGTTCCGTTTGTAATAGGTTCCATTGTGGCTTCTCTGGCACAATTGATGTGCTTTAGACTTGCAAGACTCAACGAAAAATATTAACTGGATCACGATTTCCAACAAATTCACCAACAGCCAGTTGTAAAAGTTAATTTCTGCTTCACAACAAATAACTTGACAATCGGGCCTTGAAATTGAACATACCTCAGCCTTGATGGAACGGTTTGTGCGGTGCTTAACCTTTATCTTGAATTTCTTATCTAGGTACAACAAGCCTCAAGCCAGATATAAGTGAAGTCTACAAAGGTTTAACAAATGAATTTGTCCAGGGAAGTTTCAGTCTTCAGGAATGTCTTAAATGAGGGCAAGCTCAATCTTGATTTGAAGCTTTCGTGACTGCAGGAATCCATACTCTTTGGTTCTTTCGGTAAAGTCACGTAGGGAGAAAAAATAACAAATCACGACGTTTCGATCGCAACGCAAGCAATCGTCATCAGGTGAGACAACCACAGCAGTTTCATTGCTGTGGTTCTGTTTTCTTGCTGTGGTTCTGTTTAATTGCTGTGGTTCTGTTTTATTGCTGTGGTTGTCTGTTTTCTTGCTGTGGTTCTGTTTTCTTGCTGTGGTTGTCTGTTTTCTTGCTGTGGTTGTCTGTTTTCTTGCTGTGGTTGTCTGTTTTCTTGCTGTGGTTGTCTGTTTTCTTGCTGTGGTTGTCTGTTTTCTTGCTGTGGTTGTCTTTTTCTTGCTGTGGTTCTGTTTTCTTGCTGTGGTTGTCCCACCTGATGACAATTGCTTGTTGCGATCGAAAGGTCATGATCTATTATTTTTCCTATCTACGTGACTTTACCGAAACAACCAAAGAGTATGAGGGCAGCTCAGCCAATTGCATTATTGAGCGGTTGGCCTCGTAGGGAGAACAATGAGTGCCTGCAGTAAAACCCACCACCCATAACCAGGGGGATAACACTAACAAGCCCAGCATAGATGGATTCTAGAATTCGGTTGGGTACTGTCATCTCCTGGCCATGTCCACAGCCCAAACGAAAGTATAAACTCATGACAAGTCGAGACTGCCTAGGACTGTAGCTATGAGAAGAGCTGTTTTGGGTGCAGTCTTCCTTTAACTGCAACCCACTATGGCTCTTGGGACTGATTCTGACATTATTCTAAGAACTGCTTAAACGTTGCCCAGGTGGGTCTCACATCCCAAGCACTAATTGGGGGGCTCAACCCTGCTTGGGTTCCAGGATCTTGGCTATCCCCCTCCCCAGTGCAGTCTGATTGTTATTGTAGACACGGGCCCCCATGGGGGTATGCATCCCAATGTGATGACTTGAGAGACACGGAGTGCTCCCCATATGTTACCTCCACCAAAAGTGGCCTGCCCATGGGTTTTTCTATAGCATACCCATTTTTATTGGAAGAAATTTTGTATCACAATGGTACCCAAAGTTCCAACACTACTTTGACCCAGTGAAATCAAGTTACCTTGGCATGATAAGTGCAGCATGCTAGACTATCACGTGCCCATTTTCTTGAAAAAAAAATCACACTACATTTCATCACACGGATTCGGACATGAAAATAGTTGCACAGAGACAACCCATTTGCCACAGCCTACACTGCCATTGGTACTGATACAGCTTTTAAATATCTACCAAACGTTCCTCCCCACACAAGGCACTGCTGCTGCAGCCAAGGTGACAGCTGGTTCTGCCAGTGGCCATGAGGGTCCACAGTGAGGCTATGCCAAAGGCTGCAGGGCTTGGTGACGGAGAGGACATTATGAGTGGGGCCCAGCTGCTGACACCAACTCCTCGAGCTGCAGACGCTGGGTCTGCTCCATGTCCTCCACTCTCCGTTTGAGCAGCACCAACTCCCTCTGGTGCTGATCCTCCTGCTCACAACATGAAAAGCTGTCATTCGCATATATGGCATGGTGTCGCAATGGTTCATATCATACTGTGCTGTATTTGAAAAAAGATGTGTGGGAATGGAAGCTTGCTGCCTGGCAGGACCCCAAGTGAGGGCACTTGATGCCATACACATCCCAGTGTTGGTAAGTGGATGGTGGATCTCATGCCACCCCCCTCGAATGTGTATTCCATGCAAATGTGAGGCAGAGAGATAGAAAAGGGAGATGCATAGGGGTGGAGAGGGGGTGGATTCGGGAGAGGCAAGAGTGAGATGCAGTGGAGCTGTGGGGGGTGATTGAAGGAGGGGGTGGTGAAGGTGGGGGGTGGAGAATGTGTTAGTGGGTTTGCACACCTGCAGGTCGATGAAGGTGCTGTGGGGAGGCAACCAGGAGAGCCCAACTCCAGCACCAACCGCTGACGTCCCAGGCAGGGGGAGGGAGGCGCTGGGCACCAGGATTCTCCGGAACTCTTCGTGCCGACGCTGCAGGTCCCTGAACTTAAGCCGGAGCCGGCGGTGCTCATCAAAGGGAGCTCCTGACCTGCAGGGACAGCCAGTCAGCTGCTGGTGCACGAGCCGTGGACCAGAGCTACCAATAAGCCTGCAATGTGCATGCGCTGCTATTGAGGCAACTTCAGTTGCTGACATTCCATTGGTATTGGTGCCTTTACGAGGCCGTGGCTAGCAAAATTCAGCGACTTACAATTTCGCGCAAAAGGAATTGCCACTTGGATTGTAACAGCTTACATGAGTTTGAAAGTTTGTATATACGCACCGTAGCATCCTAATATCTGCAGTTTTTTAATGTTTCCACTGCTTTGTTTGCACTGGTTTTGTATTGGGATTTCCATACACGTGTTTTGTGTGTCCATTGACTACTTAACCCCTTGGTTAATATGTATTGCCTTGACAACTACCACCACTATTGCAGCTACATGCAAACATTAATAAACACAGCTCACTGATGCAAAATAGTTATTGAAATACAAAAGTATTTTGTCTACATTCACTCTCAATGGAAAGAGATATCTGAACTGGTACTGGGCTGGGCTGCTCTTCACAAACCGGCATTAACCAGGTTGGTGAAGTATGGTCAAACCCTGCACCCCCCCCCCCCCCCCCCACCATTTGATTGACAAGTGCTGAACATTACAAACTTCATAGGTGATGGGCGTCATGTCTAGATTCAATTTCGTCAAACTATTTGGTATAAAAAAAAAGTCCTCACTTGATGGCATTCCTCTCCGCCTCCAGCTGCTCCTTTGTCGCCTCCAGAAGCCGCAGTTCGTCCACCACCACCTTCTGCTGCTTCTCGGCCAGCTGCTTTCTCTAAAGCACGGCAACATAAGCATCAATTCACATTGATAAGCGTGGTCAAGTATGTAAACTAAATAACTCCCATCACCAACAGGGTGTGGGGAGGTGTTTCATCTATTCATCTAGCAGTAGATTGGCAAAGGGTTGTAAGCCATTAGAGGCCATTTGAGATCTGGTCCTTCAATGGAGTGCCAGTTTAAATAAGTATAGCAGTTGTCTTAAATGTGTGACATCACTGGGCCAATTTAAAGGTGTTTTTTTTCCCTCCTACACAAAGTATACACTTATGACAAGTCGAGACAGCCTAAGACTGTAGCTATGAGAAGAGCTGTTTTGGGTTCAGTCTTCCTTTAACTGCAACCCACTATGGCTCTTGGGACTGATTCTGACATTCTTCCAACTAAGAACTGCTTAAACGTTTTACCAATTACGTTATTTTAGTCTTAGCATTAATTGCAAAATCACAATGCACTGCTTGTGACATGTTTTCTGAAATCCAATTTCCACCAGCTTGTGTGGCTTAAGTGCAGATTGGGGTCAAGATTTTATTCTGTTATTAATAATGAGACCTGAATTATCTCATGTTTAATTCAGCCTGTTAGATGTGCAGGATTCCCACATTACAAAGTAGATCTAACATTTGGGTCCTTCCAAAGACCAGACATTTTCCACGTGCTACAAATTGTATATGAACTGGGTGAGCTATAAAAAGAATAGAAGCTAGGCTTGACATGGAAGTTGGCAATACAACTTTCCACCCCTTTAAAATTTTTTTTTTTTATATTAGTCTTCCACATTTGTTCTATTAAAAAAACAAGCATGCCTGTGAATGTGCGCATGTGTGGGATTGGCACCTTTTTGTGCGCCAACACAATACGATTCAGCTTCTCCTTTGCACGACACAGCTTGGCATCGAGCTTGTGTTTCTCCTGGAGCCAATCCAGCCGCTCCTCTTCCAAGGACCTGGCATTCACCCACGCACTCGGTTAAACCACAGCTGGATCAAAAATGGTCAACGAGCACTGACAATCCACCTTCAGATGAGTGGAGTAATGGGTTTCTTCGTTGATCAGCGAGTAGGCAACCCACATGGCTTATTAATGAGGGGGGGGAAATATATTGGGCAAGTAACTAGAAGAGATGGAATAAAACATGAAGAATTTGGTCATTGGCTACAATTAATCCACTTCTGCAGGCCTGGCCAGGCCATTACCATCTCTCGCCATCCCACAAGCAGATTCAATACAGGTGTCAGGCTTAACGAGAGTTTCTGCAAAAAATCGCTCAAGTGAAATTTGTTAAATGATCATGGGGTTTTCCCATTGACTCACTCCCGTGTTAAAAGCCGAGTTATGCTTCAGCCTCAAAATTGCCCACTCTTGAAAAACTTTGTCAACGAGAGAATCACAATTTTATAATAAAGTAATAAAACATCAAATGTAACGCCACACACGAAGAACCAGTGGTTGCACGTGCCCGTCCTCGGCGTCTGCAATTCATTAGCGCCACCTCTCATCGGTCTCCCCCACCCATTACCTCTGCGCCTGACCCTGCACCCTCTCCGCCTCGTCCTGGGCCCGCCGAGCATCCTCGCGGTGCCGCTCGGCCACCTCGCGCAGACGGGCGCCACTCGCCTGCAGCTCGCGCTCGGACACGGCGAGCTGAGAGACGCGCGTACGCAGACCCTCCACTTCCTAGAGATGCACAGCAAAGACAATTACACACGCAGACACCCAAACGTACACAAACGTACCCAAAAGACGCAGCCCGCATACAACCACACAGACTGTTGGGTCAGGTGCTGTTAGCGAGCACCCATGAAGGCAGGCACAGCACACGAGGGGGTGGTGTGGCCAGCACCACCTGTCTCCCCGGTGCTGATGTTTACACACCGCACCCAGGTAACTCGTCATTTAAGGTTGGGTCAATCCGAGGCCCAGAATGTTCAGATATCACTCGTCACTTGTGTTATATTTAAAAAGACATTAATGTGCACACATACAGAGTACTGCAATCATGAATAAACACACCGAGTAATATTTACACGCAGGTGGGACATGTCCACCTGGTAGTGAAAGGATGCATCAAATATGCAATCTACCAGGCAGAAAAGGCCCATCTGATAACATGTAAAAAGTCTGCTGTGTTCAAAGAAGTCTAGTATTTAAATTCATAATGTAAAAATCCATACAGATATTAAATATTGTTCTGGATTTTTTTTTATTGGACAGTCAATGTCAAAGGACCGATAACATTGAAGTTAAACTATTAATTATGTTTGACTGTATACTTGGTTTGAAACACTGAACATGTTTCTGTACAGATGGTGCACATATCCATAAACCTGAGATGTACATATACAAAAAAAGTACATCGGTTATATTATATGCACAATACATAATCTCTTCTCATTGGGGAGCTGTGGTTCAGAGGTCATTAGCACACTACACTATGAACCCAGCGACGGGAGTTCAATTCCCAGCCTAAGCCGATGGCCCTGGGTCCCCGCTCTGCTACCAACAAAGTGTGATGAAGTATGGTACAAAAAAAAACTCCCATGAATCTTCTTGGTTCTTTCGGTAAAGTCACGTAGAAGGGAAGTAATAAAATAATAAAAATAAAAAATAATAAAATAATTCTCACGACGTTTCGGCCACAACGCAAGCAGCCGTCCTCAGGTGAAGAATGAAACACCACCAAGCTTGGAGCGTATATTTCATTCTTCACCTGAGGACGGCTGCTTGCGTTGTGGCCGAAACGTCGTGAGAATTATTTTATTATGTTTTATTTTTATTATTTTATTACTTCCCTTCTACGTGACTTTACCGAAAGAACCAAGAAGATGAATCCCTGCAGTCACGAAAGCTTTAAATCGAAACTCCCATGAATGACAAGGGGTAAGGAGGCCTTCATCCAGCATTTGGAATTATAAATGTCTGAAATGATGTTGTAATATCTCTTCTAATTGTGAATTAGATGTTGTATACGGACCTGCTGCAAATCTGCAGTTTGCTGCTGTTCCTTTTGCATCGCCTCCAGCTTGGCCGTCAGCTGTTGTACCTTGGCCCTGTGTAATCACATTATTGCAGAGCCATCCCCAGTGTTGCAACACAGCTGTCGTCTCTTGCCTATGGCCAAATCACCTGGCATGCACCCGCTCTCGTCATACCTGGGAAGCCAAGCGGGGTTGAGCCTGGATAGTGCTCGAATGGGTGACCGCCACACGTGCCAAATTTGTATCTCTGTTACATGAAAGTGAAACTGATATTTGTATTTCTCAGTTGGAATACAGCCATGTTAAGTACGTAACAAAATACAAACAAAAGATCCATTGTAGAATGGTCTGAAAGCATCAACTATGTATACTTGAGAACGCAGTTTAAATGCATGCGAGTGAATCGTATGTATGTTGAACTTCTTTCACACCGTACGTAGCCAGAATAGAATCAGAATATTTATCCATACTGGAGAAATCCGATGAGCTATAAAGTTATTTTTCCACAGATGTCCAGTAGGAGTGCAAAGTATAGGAAAGGTAAACAAATCACTTAAAAATCTATATTAATAAAACTAAACTAATGACTACCTTACCAGGTAAAACCCACTAAGGTGCGGGGGGGAAGGACAACAAACTAAACGTAAAAAGAAGTTTCAACGAAATTAGTTTTCAATTTAGCTTTTTAAAAAACGTGGATTCAAAGCCAGGATCTCGGCGGTGCCGGGGCTCAGCTCTCCAAACTCTGAGCAGCCCAGCCACCTGCAGGCGGTGCGGCTTACTTGAGCGTGGCGCCATCCCGTCGCAGCCCCTCCTCGGCGGTGCGCGCCACCCGCGCCGTCTCCTCCAGGAGCTCGCGCTCCGACTGCCACGATGCTTCGCGTTCCACCGCCACGCGCTCCAGCTCCGCCACCTGTGCCTCCGTCTCCACCCTGCAGCAGCAGCAGCCAAAACCGACAAAAACACGTGAAGACCGATCAATGCTCAGCCGATAAGTCATTATCCTATGGCAGGGCCCGTTGTGGTGTTACGCTGTTTGTTACATCTTGGAGTGATGAATGGCCGTGCGAATTACAAAATTGAACTTGCGATATATTGATTGTGAGGCACGTTGTAACTAGAAACCTCAAAAGCTGTCTGACCACTTACATCGTTGCAGGAAATTAAATAAGCACGTGCACAGGAACCTATTATTGCGTATTAGGGATGGGAATTTATGACTGCTTCGTCCGTACACTTGCTCCTGCGCCACAGAGAGTTTCTGGAAGCCCTCGCTGCGCGCCGCCTGTACCCGCCGCATCATCTCCTGCTCCTTCTCGGCCAGTGCCGCAGCCTGCCGCTCCAGGCCCTCTCGCGCCGCCTCCAAGTCACCCTGGGCAACTAGACACACGCACGAGGGCAACGGGACATCACGCAAGCGTCGGGAGACCTCACGTGGAGCACAGCGGAAACCTGTAGGGGTGGGGGGGGCGGGGTAGGAGTAGGGGGGAGGGAGACGTTGGCAGGAGCGTGGCGCGTACGGTCCAGCTGCCCCCGAGCGCCGTCGCGCTCCCGCTCAAGCTCGGCGCGCGCTCGTCCGGCATCCACTCGCAGGTTCGTCATCTCCAACTTGTGCGCGTGCTTCATCTCTTCCAGCTGCACAAGCGACAACACGAGCAGCGGCACTCGGATTAGTTCATCCCAATCGTCTGCTGGGCACCGATGACGCATCGATTCAGCCGTTTAAAACAGAATTTTACGCTGCAGGCAGGATACATGCGTTGGATCGTGCATGAGAATCAATTATTTACAAACTGTGCCGGTAATACACCAATTGCGTTGTTATATTTCAAGCTGTGAGCGAACAAAACTGTACAAACGTGACAGCATATACAACAACCCACACAAGACAGAGCATTTATAGCTCGGGGTGAGCAGCTACAAAATGGGACCTTTTTTTAAATTGTCATTGTCCTGTTTGCCTTTGGTCGTTCAGTGGTCCGACACTGGTGGTGAGACTAGCCCCTGAAGAAGGCCGTCTCTGGTGTAGACCAATCAGTTTCAAAGACAATGCCATATATTATCAGAGCATGTTTGTTTGCATGTTCACCACAAGTGCATGTAGTTAATGCGAACTTGAGTCCTTGAAAAAGGTTTATATTTGGTGTTTGAACGTCTTAACTTTACATTTTTATTTAAAGCTTTCGTGACTGCAGGGATTCATATTCTTGGTTCTTTCGGTAAAGTCACGTAGAAGGGAAATAATAAAACCTATTAATAAAATTATAAAACCTATTCTTATTTTTTCATACTTTGATACTGGCAAAAAAGGTACCATTTATAATCTATAATAGTGCCGGCGCTCTGCGGAAGGGCTGAGGCACCTTGTTGTTGAGGGAGGAGGCTTCCCGCTCGGCACGGTTCTGTTTCTTCGACAGCTGCAGGCACTGCTCCTGGGAGAGGCGCAGCTCCTCCTCCAGCCGCTCCACCTGAAGCTTGAGAGACTGCCCCTCAGCCTGCACAGGGGCACACGACACACGCACGTACACAGCGGAGGGCGCGGTGGGGTCAAGTACAGGCGTGAAATTGTTTTACAGCACGGAGTAACAACACCAAAAACCAGTCGCGTTATTAAGTCCTTTGTTTTCCCCAGGAATCATGAACGGAGGATTGCTTAATTCATTTATTTAGAGTTGCTTTTTGTGTTTAGATTGTCGTCCTCCCCCTGCACCTCTCATTAGCACGGTTGGCTACGTATGGTCTGCGAAAGAAGTTCAACATACACACACACTGAGGGCCAATCTTTTTTTGATGAGGATGCTGCTTGAGAAGATGGACCAAAACAGTACACCTTTTGACGGAATAAGCTAAAACGGTTGACATTTGTGCAAAATAAATACGGGACACGCAGTGGGATTTAAATTTCAGTCGTTACGACACATTTCAATTGGTATAAAGCTAAACAAATAAACAGATTAATATAATAACGTTCTCTGTAAAGTGAGCATTTAAAAAAATTATCTGCTTGGCATATCTGGGCCTTAAGCATCAATTTCCATCTCAAATCGCCGCATCGCGTTGAGCGAGCGCGTGCGAGCAAAGATGTCACCTCGAGTGCGCGCACGTTGGCCTGGGACTCCGCAATCTGCCGCGACTGCATGCGCTGCACAGTTGTCGGCCTGCAGGCCCGAGTTGCCGCGCTGCGCCTGCAGCTCTTCCAGCTCCGTCTGCAGCCCCCGCACGCGTTGCAACAGCTGCGCCCGCTCCCGCAGGAGCGCCTCGGCACGACGGGCCTCCGCTGCCGCCTCCCCGCCCGACAGACGCGACTGCAGAGTCGCCTTCTCATTCTCCAGCTCTGAAAGCTGCAGGCGTTACCCCCCCCCCCCCCCCCCCCCCCCCCCCCCACCGGCCACCACCCCACACACGACAAGACACGGACCTCTGATTAGCGCGGTTGGCTATGTACGGCGCAAAAGAAGTTCAACATAATACGCGAGAGATGGCGATTTGTGTTTAGGATGGGTGGCGTGAGCGTTATCATGTTTTACTATTAAACTAAGGGGTATATTTTCAGTATCATCATCATCATCAAGTTTCAAGATTGTTGTTTGACTATGTGAGAACTCAAGAGACCAGGATAGTCTCGTTTGCAAAAGTGGCCTGCCCGTATGGACGAATTATGATCATCATTATGATCATCAGGGCTGCCCAGAATACCACGCAGAGCCACCATATTCATTAATGACAAAAGACAGGCCCATTGTGGGGCCTTCTTTGTGTGAAGCCTGATGAAAATTGCCCTTTTTGCGCCCCAATCTCATACCACTGACATAAATACCGTGAGCAGAACAAAATAACTTTGCAGTATTGTGGTTTAACACTAACTATAATCTTCAACAGCTATGCTATGAAGTGATGTCTCATAATTAAACAGTAGTCATATATGGGACAGCATTATAGATGGGTACAACTTTAATCTACAGCAGAGTTACTGACATGTTGTGGTTCTATGACTTATCATATTGCTTGGTGGTAGTTATGTATTTGGTAGCGGTAGTTATGTTTTTGGTGGTAGTTATGCAGTAGTTGGTGATGGTAGTTTGCAGAGGTAGTTATGTAGCTGATGGTGGTAATAATGTGGTCAGTAGTAGCTATGTAGTTGTTGGTGGTAGCTATATAATTGGTAGCAGTTAGTTACAAAGTTAGTGGAAGGTATGACATGGAGAGTGATGTTTACAAATTGTTGGTATTTAGTTGTGCAGTTGGTGGCCATGTAAACCTGTGCTTGGTGTTTGAGCAGCATTTCCTCGAGCACTCGGCCGTGCTCAGCCCGTTGGTGCTCGAACTCCGACTTGAGCACAGTCTGCTCGTAGCGAAGCTTGTTAAACTCGCCGCGGTAGCGCTCGGCCTCCTGCGCACATCCCACATTACACAACCACGGCACGAGTGGGACACGCGGGGCATTGCTACGCCATCACAAAGCTGTGTCATCATCATCACCATCACGACCCATGGGCAGATAGCCCGTAGGTGTGTCCACTGCACGTCTTATCAATTGATTCCACTTTCCTCTGTCCTCCTATACCTAACTTAATACAATTACATCAAAGGTTGTGAAGTGGTGGCACAGTGGTAAGCGCACTGCACCAAATCCCGACACCTACGCTCAATACCAGCACCCTGTTAGCACACGAATTGCAAGTGATATTTAAACCCAAACTGACCGAGCACTTTCTTCTTCAACGCGCACCGAGCAGAGCAGCAAAGTATGTTGCAACAAGTCCCACGGCCAACCCGGCGTGTGAAGGCTGTCATCCAGCAGTAGATTGACAAAAGGATTGTAAATTAATTACATCAAAGTAGGAGACCAATTCTAATTAAACACTGTCACCAGCATGGGAACCCCTTATTCGTGCAGTAGAGAAGAGAAATACCGATATCCTGACTAGTGACAGCAAAGGCATTAGAGTCTTCACGTCACAATCAGCTACCAGCACTGTGCTCTGCATTAGACATAAACAAGGGACTGAGCTCTCAACCTCATGTAAACTATGCTAAAAAACATGTTCTATTTGACCAGGTAAGGCCCACAGCTATACAACTAGATTTCAGAAGCGACCTGGCCACAAATGATAGCTCAACGAAGTGGCTTATCACGTGGAGATGTATAGCAGCCAGATACTCTAAATGCGTGTCGATTCTAAATGGGGAGGGATAAACCGGAAGACCAGGAGAAAAATCCACGCGACCACGGGGAGAACATGCAAACTCCAAATATACAGGCTCAGGCTCAGGATCGCATCCCCGACCTCCTGTATACCAGGTGATGTCGTGGTCCCTTAACCCCAGCACCTCACCTCCTCCTGCCGACGAAGTCTTTCTCTCATGGGCAACTCCAGCTCCTGCTGTATCTGAGCTTTTAGCAGCTCCAGCCTCTGTGGGGTCGGCACCTATGACACCAACACCAACATAGACGGGGGTGAGGAAGTAGCGTGGGGAATGCAGCATGGCCAAACTATATAGCTTTGCATCACACATGTGCAAGTGTCGCTAAACAGGCACAGGCTTCTTTGTCTCTGTTGACATAAATTTGAATGTGTTCCTTCCATGGGACTGCCATTATCGTGATTGGAAGCGTACAGCTGGCCGGCCTCGTCACACCTGACCATGCCAGGTCGAGACTGATCGGGGCTTTCTGCTCTAGAGAAATGGACTGCTACCGCTCGTGACCAGCTGGGGCAGAAGGTGCTACACGACCGTTCGTTGTCAGTCCAGTGCGATAGCAGTCGTCGTAGTTGGGAGTTAAACCTGGCTGCGCAGCTCCTCTATCTCCCGGGTCTTGTCCAAAAGCTCCCCGCGCAACTCGGTGACCATGAGCTGGAAGCGCTCCTGCAAGCTCTGCTTGTCGGTCACAACTCGCTTGAGCTCAGCCTGAGTCCGCAGGCTCTCATCCTGGAGCCTGTGCACGCACAAGAAGAGATCGACATCAGCACCCCTTCGTCATCACGCGTATCGCCCAGCACGCATCGTGGATGCACACCCGCGCAGAGGGTTAATTTAAATGGGGCTTTATGAAGCCATGGTATCTTTATGCTCAATTGAGCGTGGCCAAAACGTAGAAAGAGATAACAAAAACACAGTGGAGCTAAAAAATCACCGTCGGAGCATTTTAACGAGGAGTTTTACATCCCCATGCCTCCCGCCCCCGTGCCTCCCGCCCCCGTGCCTCCCGCCCCCGTGTCTCCCCTCCCCCGTGTCTCCCCTCCCCGTGTCTCCCGTCCCCGTGTCTCCCGTCCCCGTGTCTCCCGCCCCCGTGTCTCCCGCCCCCGTGTCTCCCGCCCCCGTGTCTCCCGTCCCCCGTATCTCCCCTCCCCGTATCTCCCGTCCCCGTGTCTCCCATCCCCGTGTCTCCTGTCCCCGTGCCTCCTGCAACCCTCTCTCCGATTAGCATGGTTGGCTACGCACAGCGAGAAAGCAGTTCAACATCGAGACATTGGTGCGACCCACCAACCCTCACTGCCTCCACCGTTTGCTGGATTACGGGCGTGCACACCCGCCACCACCGCTCGGCTAATCCACCATAACGGAGAATCGCGACTTAACGACGCCCCCGCACAAGCCCAGGCCGATTAGCCTCCTCCTGCTCTCTTCACCTCGTGTGCTCCTCCTTGAGCGTCCGGTAGTTGGTCTTGTGGTGCTCGCAGCGCATGCGCTCGTCCATCAGCATCTTCTGCATCTCCGTCTCGGGGCACAGCAGTGAGGACGCGCCGAGGCCCAGCAGCTCGGCCGACCTCAGCGGAGTCGCACGCGGCACGAAGTCGACTCCGGCTCCAGGCAGCTCCGTGGGCAGCGACGACTCCATGCTGGACAGTTGCGGACGTCAGGCGGAGGGTTTTTTTTTTCTCCCCCTTCGCTCTTGAAACTGAAACGAAGAAACAATGCGTGTTTTATTACGGGAGTTTGCAGCGTGTTGTTCGGGCACCGATGTTCCGACGTTTCGTTCAACGTGCCGGGAGCCACTTTAGTTGTCAAGTCTCAAAAAGGCGAGCTTCAACACTGTGGAGATGGAGTGATGAAATCAGCTCATACCCAAGGAACTACATGGAGTGTTGCATTGCAACAGGTGGCGGTGGCGAAGGCGTGTGGAGGCCTTTGTGGATTGACTCGTAATTTTGTTGTGTTTTTTGTCAGATCGCTCTCGTAAAATGTGTGTCGGTACACCCTCCTCCACCCGACACAGCCAATCAATGAAAACATAAACCAAACCAAATTGACAATAAATCGTGGTTTCGGGTGAGTCTAAGTCGTTTAGGTTGAAAACAAAAGCACGATAAGGACACCCTCGACTACAAATATTACATACAAACAGTATAAAGTTAATACCAGTGTGGTGAAGTATGGTCAAACGTCGGTGGCGTGAGGGAAGGCCTTCATCCAGACGCCTCGCTACATTCAAAGCAATAACTCAACGAGCGGGACCTATGGACAACCGTAGCTCGTGATCAATGTTCACAAAACACGACATTTGGTTGATGAACAATGATAAACAAAGAAAAATAATGATAATCAATGATAAATAAAGAGAAACAATGATAAATAAAGATAAACAATAATAAACAATGATAAATAATGATAATTAAATATAAACAATGATAAATAATGATAAACAATGATAAACAATGATAAATAAAGATAAACAATGATAAATAAAAATAAACAATGATAAATAAAGATAAACAATAATAAACAATGATAAATAATGATAAATAAAGATAAACAATGATAAATAATGATAAACAATGATAAACAATTATAAATAAAGATAAATAATTTTAAGTAAATATAAATAATGATAAACAATGATGAATAAAGATAAATAATGATAAATAATGATAAATAAAGATAAACAATGATAAACAATGATAAATAATGATAAACAATGATAAATATAGATAAACAATGCTGCGACCACAAACTTCCGCCCATTTAAATCCAACCGCCGCGAATCGAGAGTCGAGTAGTCGGTGTGGATCGATTCCGCGCGCGTGTCGTGCCGGTCGCAGAATCTATACTTAAGTCGAGATCAATGCAAATGTTAACAGCGTTTAGGATAGTTCCACAAACCAGCGAGAGAGAGAGAACGATAAGTTTAAACAAATAATCCCCAAAACGACATCGATAACGCCAAATTGTAAGCGAGGTTAAACGAAATAATCGATGGAATCGAATCGAATCGTGATAGAGGAAAAAATCGAATCGGTGGTGGCGGTGGCGGCTCAATCGCTCCACAAGCCGCGAACTCGCCTCACGAAATGAAAGAGTCAACGAGGTCGAATATTTATCTTCTTGGTTCTTTCGGTTAAGTCACGTAGAAGGGAAATAACAAAGTAATAAATAGAGTGACGAAAATATTATTTTATTATTTCCCTTCTACGTGACTTTACCGAAAGAACCAATAACATGAATCCCTGCAGTCACGAAAGCTTTAAATCGCAACTCGATGTCGCGGATCTCGTTTGATCCGATCGCGCGCGGCTCCAACTTTGCTCTGGCGATCGGCGGACGATCGATCGCTGCTTGTGGAGAGTGTCGATGTTGTGCGCTCACCCGGGGTGAGTTTGCCGCCTTTGGCGGGAGCGGTGGCGCCTTGCGAAGGAGGTTGGAGGCGGCGGCCGCGAGAGGCACCGTAACGACGGACGCGCCGAGCACGCGACGCGGGGAAGCAATGCCGGCGTGACGTCACGACGCACGTTTTAAACGTGTTAAAAAATGTCGCGTGACGTCACGACGTAACGTTCCAACAGCGCGATGACGTCACGGCGCATTCTCCCCCCCACCCCTTAAAAAAATGTAACCCTTGATGTGACGTCATGACGTACGGGATGTATGCCCGTTTCCAATGTGACCAGACGTCATGACGCCGTTTGACGTCACGACGTAACGTTCCAACAGCGCGATGTCGTCACGGCGTTCCCCCCCCACTTAAAAAATGTAACCCTTGATGTGTCGTCATGACGTACGGGTTATGCCCGTTTCCAATGTGACCAGACGTCATGACGCCATTTGACGTCCGACGCAGGTTAGTTACGTCAAAAGCGCGGTTAACACGCGGTGACGTCATGCAGTACGATTAATTTAGTGACGCAACAATAAGCGTTCGTCAATGACGTTGGCCTTAAAAAAAGATAACAGGCGACGTTTCGGGCAATAACACTTCTTCACAGCACAGCAAGGCCATAGCCATGGAGTCAACATTGGGGGGGACCGAATCTTCCAGAGGGTCTGGAGGTGCCGTCCCAGAAAAAAAAAAAATCTAAATTTGAAAACGAATTTCGTGCCTAAAATATTAAAAAATTCACTAACACATGGGATGGGCTTTATTTATTTAGTTTCTACAATAATGTCTAATAGTGTATTGTATTACATTGCTCTGTTTTTTCTTGTTTCATTGTATGTAATGGCAGAGATTATGGATTAATAAAGTACAACCAAAACCACAATCATATAAACAGAAATCTATTTATAGCGATATATTATAATTACGGCCTTGCAGCAGCAGAGCCCAAAAAGAAAAAAAAGTGTTAATATACCAATACGGTTTAGGGTCCACAATTCCAAGTCTACACTATGAGACATCTCCTTTACCAGTGGCAAAATATAGTAATAGGTTTTTACCTTTTCAACTGGTACAAAAACTGACATCTTTATACAAGGCATCATGTTTGCAATAACCACAACACATTTTGACTGCTTGTGTTGTGGTTATTGCAAACATGATGCCTTGTATAAAGGTGTCAGTTTTTTGTACCAGTTGAAAGGGTAAAAACCTATTACAAAATTCCAAGTCTATTTAATGTTTTTTTTTTACCGTCTTGTTTGTACAGAATCGTTCTCAACTGTGCATAGTTGTCAACGCCGTATCAATGCCCTACCTTATTACCGACCTCATTGGTCACCCCGTGCCTCTGATAAATCTCAACGTTTACCCTACAAAGCCCCATCATCACAAGGGAGAAAAACACAAAGACACAATTTTGCCCGTATTGAAACGGCTGTACCACCGTATGGACCTGAAAACTCAATTTCCCTGTACAATAATTAACCGTATGGGTTGACAGCTAGGACTGTGCCCATCACCTTAGACATCGGATCTCATTTCTCTCTCCATTAACGACTCGTACAACAACATCTGTCAAGCTCCCAGGCATCTGCCCAGCTGCTTCTCAGCTAAAATGGGGGAATCGCTGGATCGTCCATAAACTCAACCTGTGATCGATATTACAAATTGAGGTTTTCTCCTGGAATATTCTGTGGGGTTTCCTCGTGCGTGCAAAACATTGTTCAAAATGGAACGAGCCAAACATCCCCAGGGCAGGACCCTCTCCTGAAAGAGCGTTTGACTCGAGCGCTCGTTGAGAATTCCATAAATAAACTAGTTTGCGTAAATGTAAATGTTCTATTTTATTTTGTTGTGTGTGAGAGGGGGGGGCATCAACAGTAAAATATCTGCATGGTAGAGATAGATGCATGCATGTGTAGTGACGCACTCAGGGACACCAGGGGGAGGAGGAGGCACTCTATTTAAGCCTTCACAGGTTACAAGGGATAACGACAACTCTCAGTCAGGACAGCTGGCAGACTGCCTGAATAGAGAACGCCGAGACGGTGAAGACGTTGACGAAGACTCCAGCAGCCCGATGGGATTCCCCTCCAAGCAACATCCCCGACCCTTCGCTCGGGGTCCCCTTTTATCCTCCCGGCGTGGCCACGCCCCACCCGGGCCACGCCCCCCTTCTAGAACTTACTCGCTGGTTCCGTCACGTGCCCCCTCAATCACCTTTCCCATACATCAGGGTTGGGGAACCTTTTTTCTGCCAAGGGCCATTTGGATATGTATAACATCATTCGCGGGCCATACAAAATTATCAACTTTAGCCGGTTATATTTGGTCAAACATTTAATTAACTCACCAATAATGTGATGGCTGGAACTGCTTCTCTTTAGCGAGGCGTGTGATGCTAGCTGGTATTGATAATGTTGCTACTCGCAACTGCTTTTCCAGGTTTGCTCCTAGATTTATTGAATTTCGAGTCCCACCTGCGGTTGCCTTGGCAGGGCCAGACCAAATGATTCCACGGGCCTTATACGGCCCGCGGGCCGGACGTTCCCCACCCCTGCCCTACATCCCTCTCTGGCTTATCACGTGACCTGCTGACAGGGCTGCTGCAACTGCAGATCCCCTTCTCTGCCAGCAACCCGCGCTATGCTACGTAGTGACCCATTCCATGTCACTACACGTGGAATTACACTTGAGAAGATGTGAAGAGGCATACACGGAATCGAGAACGCATGTAAAGGTTAATGACATTGGAACTCTTTCAGTGGACTTGTACAAGGACACGCCACGAGGTTACAAATGAGTGACAGCCAAAAACCCAAAACATTGTCCACCAAGACATCCATTGAGAGATGGATGTCTTTACATCCCCATATGGCGGCAGCTTGGATGGCAGCATCCATCATCCAGCAGTGGGTTGACCCAAGCCCGACAATTAGAAACGAAAGCATCATTACAGTTCCATCTTTCACCATCTTTATTCATTTCCACCCTCCCCCACCCTTGCCACAACACTCGGATCCATTTTACCGTCCCGTCGGCCACCACAAACACTTGAAACATGGCACTCATTACAGTGTCAATACAAACGAACGTTTCGTAAAATGCCACCACAAATAAGCAATTCAAGCTCTGTATTAGCCACCCATTGGTGTTTGTTCAGCCAGCAACAACTCGAGCGATGACACAATAAGACAATCGTTTTAAATGTACAGCACACTTAGCGCATGGCATTCGACCCGCCAAAAAGGTGTCAAGCATTGGGAGGGGGGCAGGGGGGAGCTCTCACCCCCGTGCAAAGTCATACTTCCCTGGACAGGTTCCCTTCGCTTTACGCGGGTTTGTGCGATTTCACGTAAATGCGGCGAACCTACTTCCACCCAAAATTCGATATGTGCGGTTTTATTTAATTCGCATGCGGCTATGCCAGAGGTCGGCAACCTACAGCTCCAGAGCCGTATGCAGCTCATTTAAGGGCTTGTTTCGTTACGTTAAGGACCATCTTTTATTCACATGCATTGCAGCTTTTGAAATACAGGGACTCCTCTTACTTACATTGGACTTACGAACTTTCAGAGATACGAACAAACCTGTCCGTATGTCCAGTTGCCTGTTTGGACCGAGAGTCGTAAGTTCAACCGCCGCGCAATAGATGGCGGTGGTTGCATCTACATCTGCAGAACATGAAGAACCAGTGGCATCGAGATCTACAGAAGATGATGCAACTTTTAAAGCCATTCCCCGTGTTTAGTGTACATGCTGTACAACATGTTTGGAATCTACAGGAGTAAAGTTGGACTTACGAACAAATAAACTTACGAACAGACCTGGAACCCAACTCGTTCGTATTGTTTTTTACCGATTACATTTTTAAAATCTTGTTTTAGTTACCGACCCCTGGGCTATGCGGACGGATGTGGGACGTTGCACGTGTACTGTGTGCAGCGATTCATCAGGCAGCCGTCTTGTGCGGTTTGGCTTAGTGCGCCCCTTTTTTGGAACGCATCTACTACCGCAAAAACAGAGGGAAACCTGAATCAGTTGTAGTGTGCTACGAAACGTACAAGGTTCATAGTGCACGAACGCAATATTAAAGAGAAAAACTGCAAAAAGATGCTTAAGGGCACATATTGCACGCACGAACGGTGCAATTGTAAAGGATATTATTTGTTTGACAGCATTAATATCAGACAGCATGGCAACTACAAGTTTGGTCATAATCGGACTTCCATGTAAAGAGTTAAAGTACCATTTGAAGTTTCAAAATTCCGTATACACACTGCGCACGTTTGCATTTTCACATTTCAAAAAAGTGCAAGCATATACTCACATTGACCAATAACCAGATGAAGAAAAAAAAATACCTTCTCCGAATTTCAGCTCTCATCAAAATAAGCTAAATGCGAATTGTGTGCCTTCAAAAATACTGACATTTTCACAACCATGTGCTTTCCTTATTAGCAGTTCACACACAACACTAATACACCATCAAGTGTGCTTGCTCCAAGGGCTTTCGAAAAGGCGAGATGCCCATTAATAGCATTTAATCGTGTTAAGCCGCACGGAAAGTGCACAGAGGAAGGCATTCACGTTGGAGGTGCGGGGTGTGAAAAGATTGCGAAAGTCACTTGGCATCAGCAAAATGGAAACGCGTACCTGCTGCATGCGACATACCATCGCCACCGAACTGTGACACGAACCGAAATGTTCAGGAGGTAACACCGACTTCACACGTGCAAGTTGTCAAAACACTTTCCAGCAGGTTTTTTCTAACCCACCGTTCAACCTTTCCAACACCGTTAATTGCTTACGTTTCTGCCTTGCAGGCAATTAATTCAACATTTAAAAACGCGTACCTTCAAGTTAATATGCTCACCAACACTTAAGTTGTAAACTATTATGGACTACATCCTCCTGCATATGCAATTTCCCACGCTTTTCAATATAAAACGCACCAAAAAATAATTAGGCATGTTGTACTGCCGTTCGAATTTAGTCATCGCCACCCTAACAGTCTGCGCATGCCAATGGAATGTCTTTTAACGTAAAATGCGATAGGCATTTTTGGGTACTGCATAGCGACTTTAGCAAAATGGAACAAGACCTGCAGCAAGAAATTATTTAGATGTTTTGTAAACTTCCAAGGGGCGGCCTGTTGCTGCTGCAGAGAAAGCCAGTCGTAAGGGCTCGACTGTTGCAAAGCCGAAAAAAATAGGGCAACCTTGTTATCCTAAGGCGACCACACAGCCAGGATCTTTGCAGCAAGAGTAAGACTTAAACGTTAAATCAATACAGCACAGGTCAATGCACAGTGTACACAGAAAATGGCACTTAATTCAGGAGGCATATGTGGTTCTTCATGCAGCAGCACAGTGCACAGTAACGCTGCAAAAAAAACTTACTTTCAACGCAACGACGACAGACCAAATGTCGCAATTCCCCGTGAAATGTCCAATACGGACGGACGTCTATCAGCTTGGGACATCACACAAGGACACAAACGGAATCGTTGTTTGAGTTTTGGCAGGACATGAATTCCGTTTGGCAAGAATTTAGAAGAAAAAAAACACAAGGAAATGTTGGCAGAACGGCTGTTTTCTAGTTTCGTCGAGACTTGGAATGTTGAATGAGCCACTGGAGGGTAATATCTGCAGACACAACAAAAAACAATCCATATTTATCAGAGATAAGTAAAATGAATACGAGGTTTCACAACAAAGCAAAAGCCGCCGTTTGTAGCCCAGCCTCTGCTAAAATAAAACCACAACACATCGCCAATCGGTGTCTATCCCACCATGAGCTCATGTGTGCGTCAGTGGTGATGAACGTGTGCTATTTAGCGAGCAAGAAAAACCAAGGGCCTGTAATTGGAAACAAAAATCGATGCACTGCAAATCTCGCGCAATAAATCAGTGGCGCGCCGACTGAAGGGGTGGGAAAAACAACTTATCAAAAGAGCAAATGAATCGGCGGTGACATCACTCACCTATGTTGTCCTTCTCTTTGCAGGAAATGGAGTAGCAGCAGATCTCTCTGTCCTGAATGGCACACAGATTCCTGGAAGTGAAGGCAGTCGAGTTAGTGTCATTGCTTCTAAACCGAGGAGGCTGGCGCACGGGCATGACTACGCGCCAGCTCGTGAAACTAGAGCAAATGACAAAGTCCATCGTTAATTATTGTACAAGTTTCTTATTTCAATCTTACATTTTATCAATCAGCTGTTTTTCATCCAGAGCATTTGGAAGGTCCTTCTTGTTTCCGAGAACCAGCACCTGTAACAGAAAAGCCTTTTATGAACACGACTACTCCAAGGTAAAGGTAACCGCACCGAGGCTACGGGAGACAAATGCAATTAGAATATCCTATACATTTACGCCTGTGAAGCAATCCACCCAGAATGCGCCCCATCTCGTTACACCTTTGAAGCAGCCAAGCAGGGTTGAGCTTGGATAGCGCTAGGATGGGCCACCACCGTGGCAGCTGTTGCATGATTTAACACATTCCTGCGGAGGGAGCTGGTAGGAACGTTGGGTTGCTCGGTCAATGGCCAGGGTCAACGGCGGCGTGGTGTATTCCGCAAATATGGCCAACTGTGAGGGCGGGCACAAGCCGGCGTGAGTAGGTTAAACGTTGAATTTTATAAGGACACTACGGGGTGACCAGCCCCTCCCCACCCAGCACCACCCCTCCCACCCCCCACCGTCCCCACCCAGCCCCTCCCCACCCAGCCCCTCCCCACCCAGCCCCTCCCCATCCTCCCCTCTCCACCCAGCCCCGCCCCTCCCAGCCCCTCCCCATCCTCCCCTCTCCACCCAGCCCCGCCCCTCCCATTTTTGGATGCACGACGGACGGACAGAATAATCCCCTGTGGGCTAGTGTAACCAGAAGGTTCCTACCAGTATGAGTTGTCTAAACTAAACTAATTGTATTTTACCAGGTAAAGCCCACCAAGCTATATAGCTCTTTTTCAGAAGCAACCTGGCCACAAATTACAGCTCAACGAAGAGGCTTATCACGTGGAAATGTATAGCAGTCAAATACTCTAAATGCATGAAAGGAAAAATCGGAGGACCTGGAGAAAAATGCACGCAACCACTAGGAGCAAGACATTCAAACACCAAATATAGAGGCATCAGGGTCAGCATCGCACCCACGACCTATTATATACCAGGCGAGGTAGTTAACATCTCACCACCATGGCTGGCTCATTCTTACCGGGATGCCATGCAGCTGGGGTTTCTCCAGGAGATTGTTAAGCTCATTCCTTGAAGCTTCCACTTTATCAGGGTCCGCCGCATCCACCATGTACCTGTGACGGCACGAGACAGACACCGCAGTGTCGGCACTCGCGAGCGTCGGCAGTAAATCCGCCGACATAAATGTCAAAATGCCCACAGATCAACTGGCATAGATCATGTTGACAGTCATGTTCGTGACACGACGCGCATGTCTACTCTGTGCTATCCTCTGGCGCGTGCGCGCACACGCTGTCTCTCGTTTCGCAATGATGAATACAAAACAATTTTTTTTAGAATATTGCATTTGTATTCACGTAAATAAATCTGAATGATGAAAATGGATATTCAAGCTTTTATTTAATATCTGCAACATGATCGCTTGGTAATATTAAGCTTCAAATGTATTATTCAAGGTTCATTGGTGTGGCTGATAAAACCTTTCTTACACCCCACACTCCCCCCCCAGCATCTCTTGTCCATCCCGCAATACATATGGGATACACCACGTGGGGGAAAAGTGTGAACACCCACACCTCTTCCAACATGTCTGGCCAGCGTAGAAGAGTAGGTCAGAGATAAGCGTTGGGATACGCTCTCTCTCTTAAGAGAGCTCCTTATGGAACAAGCATTGTCAGGCATGCACCTTTTACCGTTGAGTACAATTTAAAATGAGTGTAAACCAGGTCTGGTGGATCTTACACGATGGCGTTTACTCCACGGCAATACCGCTCCCACATGCTCCGGAACCGGGGCTGTCCTCCGATGTCCCAAATCTGCACAAATTATAAACACAGTAAATCTCGCAGACGTGGTGGTGGTAACTGTTTTTACAGACACTTAATGCTTTACCAGACAATTACCATACTTGGTAAACACACAACATTATTGGATCAGTGGTTATTGATAATGAGATATAAACTCTGTTCAATAACTAAACAGGGCGGAGTGGTGACGCAGTGCACTGTGAACCCGATGACCTGAGCTCTATTCCCCGGCAGTGTTAACACATCATTTAACTTCATCAGTTAACTTTGGCAAGTGATATATAAACCGATCCTGGACCCCCCCCCCCCCCCCGCATACTTCACCAACCCACACTGACCAGTGTGGTGAAGTATGGTCAAACAACCCCGATGACTAACATGGCGTGGTCAGTAGTACAATGGGATGTATAAACCTACACAATGCAGTTCTGATGTAGTCATCAAGTCCACTGCCAGGAATACCATACATAGTTGGAAAACTCATGTTGATGGATTAGCTTTGAAATGAAAGACTTCATTAAAACTTAGGCCAGTACTGTAGCATATTTGGCACCGGTCCCTGGTGCAAGAAATGAAATGTAGTCCTCTGACAAATTTCCCCCGCTTCTCTTAAGAATGTTTACTTATTTATTTAAACTGGAGGAATCCGATGAGCTATGAAGCCTTTTCCACAGGCCCCTCCAAGCCGTGGGCCTTGGTGCAGTTACACCGCCTGTGCACACAATAGCACTGCCACTCAGGTTAGCATTGGCTCAGAATTTAAATGTGACCCCTCTTGAGTTCAACTGTACGAAAAAATGAATGTAGTGGCACAAGCAATAGATGTACAAATAGAAAGTTAGTTCTCATTCGCTCAGACTCTTATTTTAGTGGACATGGCCAAAATTCCTGAATGAATCTATTCATCAACATAGCTGGTTTTATTTCGATTTAAAGCTTTCGTGACTGCAGGGATTCATCTTCTTGGTTCTTTACGTGACTTTACCGAAAGAACCAAGAAGATAGCTGGTTTTGTTTTCATGTTCAAGATCAGCCTTAGCTCTGGTTTAGTCTGTTGACTTCGAATTGATTTTACAAATGTTTGATCAGTCGCCAGCTGGGAAACAAAAAGGGGCAAAACAGCAGGAATGTGCTCATCAATTGGAACTAGCATGAGGCGAATTTATGTCAAATGTGGAAAACATTAACAAGCTGACGGTTTCAGCCCGGTGAAGAATGACTGCACAAAAAGTCGCCACATTTAAATTTGGTGCTGCACTTGATTTGTCTGAGATTTAAACTCTCGATTTTCCTGTTATGCCACGACCATTCCTCTCATGTGGCAGTGGGAGTGGGCACATGCTACCATCTCTAATGTGTGGGCCTGAGGTGACGTGAAAGGATCCAGGGGTAGTTCTATGAAATCTGTTTCTGTGGGCTAGTCTCTTTATCGCGTGTAAAACCACCCTTTGCGCTGCTCTGCAAGACATCCGAGGAAGGCATTCATTTGTTTCAGGAGGTGACGACAACAGTGCACAATTTGGATAACAAAATTTGGGGAAAACACAGAAAAAAAATACAATATAAATTTCAAACGGAATATGTACCTTGATGGTTACATTGCCTTTTGATATTTTCCGCATGTTGAAGCCCACAGTGGGAATCATATCTTCATTGAACTGGCCGGACTGCAAAACCAACAACATAAAACACTCATCAAGCTATGAATGATTTAAATCCCCTTTGAAAAAGAAAACCCAAGAGGGTTCAAGATACATGTATTTTACACGGGAAACCTGGAATAAGAAACAGAGGCATGAAAATATATGAAGATATCAGGGCTATAAAAGCCAGTCCAAAAAAAAATACACCGGTACCCCAGAATCAATAAGCATACGTTCGTTATAAACGTGAACATGCTGCAATGTAACACATTAATTAGCACGTACGGCGCGCAAGAAGCTCAACATACATCCGTGCGTACGATCATACATATTAAACTAGTGGTAAGGAGCAGAATGCATAGCTACAAATGCAGCTTCGTATTAACTACTCCTACAAGCCTTCTGCTTATTATGGGTGCAGTCTGGGAGCCTAGGCGATGGCAGTGGTGGCCTCATCATGAATAACAAAAGGACTCATTACACATTCGCCAATAACACGCTGCCCTGAAAGGTAAAAAAAAACGTTGCTGACGTTTCGGGTAACGACCCCTTGAAGGGCAGGCAGGTGCTATTGATGGACTAACCGTGTTGAGAAGTGTTTAGGGGAGAAGTATGGGGCGCGGTAGTGTGCGGCCAACACCAGTGATATCGATTATCTGAACCGGTCCTGGGCCTCCCCTAGGTCGACTCAGCCTCAAATGAGTACCCGGTGTGTAAAAACATCGCCACTGGGGAGACAAAGGCGATCGGGCGTGGTGCTGACCACCCCACCCCCTCTCGTGTGCCACAGTGCCGGCCTTCACAGGTGCTGCTAACAGCACTTGCCCCCCAAGTCTGCTGTAGGCTGCACGGGGGACCTTTGTCTGTGTGGGGTGTGGCGCTTAGCTAGGAGGGTGGTGGCGCTTGGCAGGACCGCAGATCAGCGGGGTAAACAGATTTTATTGGTGGGTCATTCATTTTTTTGTTGTATATCAACACACGGGCACGAGCGAGTGGTGGAAATTCCCCGTTAGTGTGGCGAGGGAAAGTACATCCAATGCGGGCGAGTGGCGCAGTGGTGGATCGCAGGTTTGAGATGCCAAAATGTCCCAGTTTTGTAGGGGCGTGTTAACGAGCCGACCTATCATCTCTCTCTCTCTCTCAGAGGCGGATAAATCGAGTAACCGTCTTTGCGACGTTTATTCTTTTTGTGAAATAAAGAAAAACAATACGACCACCACCACCACCCGTGTTTCACTTTCCACAAATACAAACGCCAGGCCCGCATTAAAGCGATAAAACACAACAATAATAACGTTAAAGCCATAAAACACACCAATAGTAACGTTAAAGCCATAAAACTAAATAATAACAACGCAACCGAGGCGGTGATGCATTAACCACGCAGTTTTACGCGAGACGCCTTTCAAAGCGGGCAAAGTTGCCACCACAAGAGCTCCACAGACGTACGATCGAAACGATTCTCTCTTTCAACGCGACAACGAAGGGCGAACAGTGACACACACACACACACAATTTGTTTTAATAAATGCGAATGCGTTAGTTTACACGTGGGGCCTACCCAGGAGAGGGCTCGCCTCGCAGACGCGCAATGAGTAGGCTGCTTTACCGCAATAACGTTGACGAACGTCGTCTTGCCCGAGTACTGCAGCCCGACCAGAGTCAGCTCCATCTCCTCCTTCCAGAAGAGGGCCTTAAACCAGTCCAGCAGTCTGTTGATGAGCGCCAACATCTTTCGATAGCTTCAATTCGTCCACACACACACAAACACCACCACCCCCCAAAAACGCGATTTCGTGCCGCTTTTGCGCTGTGCCCCCCCGCCGGGCACACGGCTGATGTGGTGGCTGGGTCTGGTGGTGGTCGTGGTTGTTTGTGTTGTTGATGGTGGTGGTCGTGGTTGCTTGTGATGATGATGGTGGTGGTGGGATCTAAGAATCGCACGGCGCGTTCCTCCACTGCAGATGAGGGCGTGTGGTCACGTGGGTGCTCAGGCCCCCACCCCCCTCACCGCACCCCCCTCCCCCCTCCCCCGCGTGCACGCGCGCGCTATGCTGATCACGTGTGCGGATTCCAAAAGCGTGTGTCCGTGACGTCACGCGTCGCAGCAATGACGCTAAGAGAGGGTAGATGGTGGTGGGGGGTGGTGGTGGGGGTGGGGGGTGGGTGGTGGGGGGTGGTGGTGGGGGGTGGTGGGGTGGTGGGGGGTGGTGGTGGTGGGGGGTGGTGGTGGTGGTTGTGGGGGGTGGTGGGGGTGGTGGGTGGTGGTGGTGGTGGTGGGGGGTGGTGGGGGGTGGTGGGGGTGGTTGTGGGGGGTGATGGGGGGTGGTGGGGGGTGGGATGGTGGTGGGGATTGGTTTCAAGTTCAAGTTTATTTATTAGGTAGAGCCCTGTGAGCCATTCGGCTCTTGAATCGGGTGCAACCGCAACAAACAAAAAACAAAAACATGAACAAAAAAACATCTTAATGTGAATATGTGACTGAGTGCAAACAGAAAATCCAAGAAAAGACAGCAAAATATTGCAGAAAAAACACCGTACACCAACGCTGTGTGCAAAAATCCCAGTGGGATGCAAGTCAAACAACAACAACCATGAGACAACTTAGATTAAGGCCATCAGTCTAACTCTGTACTACAACAAACAAACATGGCTAAACCAATACACTTTTCGAAATCACCAAAATAAAGCCATCAAACCATCTTCAATTGTGCCGTTGTGTGTCCGCGTACACGGACAATACGTATATTTGTTATCAGTCACCGGTCAAATGGTTTTCCAAAGTAATTTTGTTGAGCAGAAGTATCGGTTTAAAAAAAAAATCTACGTTCAGATGTTATTCGCCACTGATGTTAGCAGTGAGAAATTTTTTTCCCAGGTCGCTGGGTTCATACTTGTTATCCCCACTGCTGCAGACTGAATCTTAATAACTTCGTTTGGTGAACGTTCAAGCGGTCGCACTGCGAAAGAGGTCCTACAGCGCCCTCTAGGGGCAACCAGGCATACGAATGCCGTGATAGTGACATTGTCTTTGTGCCGTTCGCTTTTTGGCGTCCTCTGGTCTCACACTGTCTGAGGCTCGGCTCTAAAGAAAGCTGTCTCTGGTGTGGAACAATCAGTTTCAAAGACAATGCCATCATATACTACCAGAGCATGTCTTTTGGTTTGCATGTTCTCCACAGGTATATGTGGTTAAGGCAGACATGATTTTTTGCAAATGGTTTTTGTTTGGTGTTTTAACATATTAACAAAACGATTTTATTTCCAGAAACGGTAAAACCTATTCTTATATTTTGATACTGGCAAGGGAGGTCCCATGGGACAAGTCCCGTTAGCGAGCACCTGTGTCAGTGATCTTCATTGCAAGGCCCGTGGGCCACTGGGGGCCCCTGGTGGCTTTTAATGTGGCCCTGAACGTCCGGCCCCCGACAATACACAAAGAGTGAAAACAACCCCCATCATCATCGTGCTGCTGTCAAACACAACAATGGTTTCAAATGTGTGGCAGCCCTCACACTGATGATGTCTTATCGGCGAAAGTCGCCCCCCTCTAAAAATGAGTGAAGCACACTGGCCTACATGAAGTCTAACGTGACACACGAGGGTGTGGCTGAACAGCACTGCGCCCAGCCCCCCTTTGTCTCCCACGGTGCCATTGTTTAAGGCTGAGTCCACCTCGGGGAGGTCCAGAACCGATTCAGGTATTCGTCACTGATATTGAGCATGAGCCGGGAGTTGAATGCGGGTCGCTGGGTTCGTAGCTTTGTGTGCTAACCACTGCGCCACCTCTCCCCAACAAGGCAATATTGACATAGGCATCCATAAGCAGATAACAATTCACCTCCCGACGATTCGATGACATTTCCACTGTTAGATTAAATGATTGTCTATTTTTTACTATATCGACTGTATTGTCGTCGTGTTTATGAATTCATATAAATGTATATTAACAATATAAATTACACGTGCGAATCAAAAATAGATTCAATATATTCGATGTATGTGTACGTGTAACAGCCCGTTTGCCAATCCACTGCTGGATGAGGGCCTGGCAACGCTGTGCAAAGTAGTGAGGCTTATTTGTCCATCATTCACCACGCTGGTCAGTCCGGGCTTGTGAATATGGGGGGGGGGGGGGGGGGGGGAGTATGCGTACAGCCCGGTTTGTCAATGCACTACTGGATGAGGGCTATAATGATGGTCAGGGGCTAGATGTCAATGTCGAGGTCTGCTCGCCACAAGAGGGTTTCAGGAGAGCGAGAGTTCGTGGAGTTTTGCTCTCCTCATCCGTTGGAGGAGCTCAGACCACACAGTGGGCTACCATACGATCCTCGGTTTGAGTTCCATGGACACAGTTGCACTTACTGCGGTGGCTTTTATCTTAAATGTATCTTTAATCCACCATTGGTACCTCATTTACCAGTAAAAAATATGATAATTGTTTTTTTACCCTTTTATCTGGCAACAAAACGGACACCTTTTTTACGAGGAGTCATGTTTGCATAGACCACAATACTTGCAGTCATAATGCCAACAAAAAATATAACTCTGATAATGTATGCACTGTCCTTGAAGTTGATTGGTCCACACCCGAGACAGCTTTCCTTAGAGCTTAGTCTCACATGGTGTTGGACCAGATGACGCCAAAAGGCGTCCGATGTTCCACTCGACGAAGGAGAGCAGCTGCCTGTTGATGTTGCGGTGTCTTCGAGGAATGTCAAATCCACGGGGGGGGGGGGAGGGGTGGGCGTGATGTTTGGCTCTCGAATGAGACGTTTATCCTGGACGGCTGCGTGTGCTCCACTATGCTCGCCAGCGGACCTTCTGGATCAGGGTGAGATCCGAGCTAGGATGTGGGTGAAGGGGGGGAGGGGGGTACACACAGAAGAGTGGGTTTTGCTGCACAGCCCACAACGACAACAGCTCGTGTGCTGGGTGGTCACGGGAGATGCATGCATCATTCGCCCAATAACCGACGCGTATCGATGAATCATCATCATCACCAACATCGCCGCCTAATCTCTCCGATTGGTGCTTTACACGACGTGAAACTATTCGCGTTTTCCACGAATTATAAGACGCTTCGGATTATTGCAAGACGCGCCCACAAACCTGTGGTCCGCGTCACAATCCTGTGGTCGGCGTTACACAAACACACTTTGCTTTAAAATAAGGGAATAGAGTGCGTCTTATAATCCAGAGAATACGGTAGTAATTAGTTTTTTTTCGTTTTAACTCCTTGTATATTGTTGCATCTCGGAGATGATGACGAACGCCTCTGACACAGTGACTGTGAGCCCTTGGCACCACCCAGCCAACTTCGCTCGATGATTTATGCGCGCTCGGTATAAATGCTGCTCGTTTCTTTCTCTCATTATTATCAGCTAATCTTGATTTGAAGCTTTCGTGACTGCAGCAATCCATACACTCTTTGGTTCTTTCGGTAAAGCCACGTAGGTAGAAAAAGAAAATATAACAAAAATAATTATCAGCTAACTTAACACATTTCCTAATTGTAGTGCGCGACGAATCCTACTTTCATCAGTTCGATCCCGGGCATGGTTTTTCCCTCCCATCACCACCTCAGCACCCCCAGAAAGGGCATCTCGCTCCCCCAGGCGGTGCAGGGTGCACCCCAGCTTAAGAAGAAGAACCACTGGATGAGAGCGATGACGTGGACAATCATGGGTGGTTGTTGTTGTTGTTATTATCTGCTGGGGTCTTCGTGTGGCTGTGCAGAGCGATGCGGGACCGACGGCTTGTGAGCAGCATCGGGCCGCGCTGAGCCACACTCTGATGGGTGGATTCAGTGAAACTCGTTTGCGGTGAAAGAGGAATCATTTTACGGGCCACATCCGCACAACTTCTAGGTCAGGGGTCGGCAACCAGAATAACAAGCGGAGACATTTTTGTTGTTCGAATTCGGTGACGAAAAAACTCCCTCAATATCTCAAGAGCAGCGATGGTTGTGAATACAAGACGGTAACTAACGAGTAACGTTAAGTTATCTCTTTTTCTGTAATCACTATTTTAAGAACAGCACACGCACAATGAATAGGTTTTGAATGCCGCGTTACAAATCATTGTCGGGCTTTTAGACGTTCACCGTTGTATCGAAAATAATGAGGAGGATGTTTTCTGACTTTGCAATGATAGTGTCGGAGAAGTCACGTAGTAGGGAAGTAATAAAATAATAAAAATAAAACATAAAACAATTCTCACGACGTTTCGGCCACAACGCAAGCAGCCGTCCTCAGGTGAAGAACATGTCTGTCGATAAGACAGAGTCTGTCTTATCGACAGACATGTTCTTCACCGGAGGACAGACATGTTCTTCAAGTGAGGACGGCTGCTTGCGTTGTGGCCGAAACGTCGTGAGAATTGTTTTATTATGTTTTATTTTTATTATTTTATTACTTCCCTACTACGTGACTTTACCGAAAGAACCAAGAATATGAATCCCTGCAGTGTCGGAGAGTGACGAGGCAGACTTCTAGGCCAACGCATTGTGGCGAGATGTGATCTCCCTCGCCTGGTACACAAGAGGTCCTGGATTCGATGCCGACCCTGACGCCTGCTGTATATTTGGAGTCTGCGTGTCTCTCTCCCCGAGGTCGCGTGGATTTTTCCCCGGGCCGTTCGGTTTTGTTCCCCTCCACATCTAGAAACAACGTCACGCGTTTAGACTATTTGGCTGCTATACATTTCCACGTGATAAGCCACTAACGTCGTTGAGCTATCATTTGTGGCCAGGTCACGTCTGAAAAAAATAATAATAGCTCAGTGGGTTTTACCTGGTAAAATAAAATAGGAGTTCGTAAAATATATATGGCGATGCTGCGACTGTTGCTGCTGCATTGACAGAGGTGCACAAGCGCATTTAATAAATAAAAAACAACTCCACAGATTCGTCAATAATAATTTGTTCTGAGCCTTAGACCGAAAACTATCCCGTGGTTTTACGAAAACAAACGCTCTATGCTCAG